TGTAGAAGAGTCTGAAAATTGATACATCCTGCAAGTGACCACTTTGCCCCACCGTCCAATTGATGCTGGGGCCAAATAGAATTATAGTAAACTTTTAGTTTTTTCTTTGAGATGGAATCTCCTTTGCATCTTTCCCAATTTCTCCAAAGGCAACCCAGAGGCATACGCACTTGTTTTGACTTGCTCTGACTCATGATGCGCTGAGCATTCCCCAGAAGACCTCTGGAAGGATTTCAGCAGACCTCTCTGATTTTCCTTCTGTCAATTCTGCCAGGCGTCCCTGGTCAAAAGTGCTCACGCACATCTGGACTCAAACCAGGACTGGACTCTATCCAGACTTCACCCCACCTGTACCAACAAGAGTTTCTAGAAGCTCTGTGTGGCTTCCAAAATCCCCTCCATCCAAGGAGAACCCCCTTTTGTTCAATCCTGCCTCTTCCCATAGGGTCCAACCCTACCCAGGAGTCACCGGCCATCAGGCAGGGAAAGGCAGCTTGCTGGACTCTAAGCAGCCCCGGACTCTAACTGGAGGCCCTCCCTTTCTTTAGGAACTGGGTCTTCCCCCAGGCAGTGGCCCTTTCCAACAGAGGCTTTCTCCTTACCTGGGGACTCCTTGCTCCATCCAGGGTAGCTCTCTTCGTCTCGCTGTTCTCTCGACACCTTTCCTCAAGCCCTGCTCATGGCTGGCGGAGGTTCCTGGCCAAATTTGCCTCAGCCCAAATGCTGAGGGAGAGCTCTCTATTGCTGGTCATCCACCCATCTGAAAAGCAGTTCTTTGGGGGAGATGGCTGAAGAATGTTGAGGCAAAATTTGCCGTTAGTCCAGTCGATCACGTTGGGTGCCAGAAACTGGTACTGAACTCAGCCAGTCAAGAGCTAGGGCAAACCTGGGGGGACCCCAGACCCGAGTCAAAAGGAGCCTGAGACAAGACTTACAGCCAAATCCAGCTTTATTCTAGTGCACTATAGAATGAAGGGAGATGAAGGGGGACGTTCAGCCCAAAGCAGCGTCTCACAGGTTGCATCCTGGTTCTTGCCTTTTATAGCCTAGGTAAGCAATTGGGTCGCCTGATGCACCTCTGATGCATCGATACATCAAAACAGCCTCCCCCCCCAGTGCCGCTAGCTTCAAAGAGTCCTTTCTTCTCTCAAGGACCAGACATTTCCCACGTCTGTTTCTTACCTGCTCGAGGTTCACACAGGCTTGCCGTGTTCTTACTCCCTGCGCATTTGCAACTTTCATGGTGGCTAGAACCAGATTCCGCTGCCCCTTTGATTTCGGCATTGGAGGTCAGGCTAGCGTGTCAGCTGTGAGTTGCACAAACTTCATTTTGTTCTTATCCCCCCTCCCTTCTGGGACAGTGTAACTGTGGTGTTTTTACTATGTGGCCTCCCTCTGGCCAACTACTTTTGGGGTGTTCTGGGGTGCTGCAATTGGCAACACCTGCCATGTAGCTGTTAATGAGGATCTGCTTGTCACATCGTCTTTAATTAGGCAATTGCAAGGCCGTATGTAGCGAATTAAACCCCGACTTTTAGGATCTAAACACTCACTAGTCTAGACCTGGATGGATGGATGGATGGATATGCCATCTTAGTTTCTCCCTTGTTTACATTTTTTCAATTGCAAGTTTCTTTTGCCCTGGAGTTGAGGAGGGTTTCTTCGCAAAGATCCATTGTAGGTGAAAGAGAATTTGCCACACCTTTTTATCCACTGTCAATGGATCTCGCAGTAACTTCTGGTGCAGAAACAGTGCATATAGCTTAGCTGAGAAGAGCCTTCCTGTTGTAGCTCTGATTGCTCTGTCCCAATTTTTATTTTGTTGTTAGTTGTGAGGTCATGTCCGACCCATCACAACCCCATGGACAACATTCCTCCAAGCCTTCCTGTCCTCCACCATCCCCCAGAGTCCATCTAAGCTCAAACTCACTGCCCCAGTGACCCCATCCAGCCACCTCATCCTCTGCCGTCCCCTCCTTCTTTTGCCATCTATTGTTCCCAGCATCAGGGTCTTCTCCAGGGAGTCCTTCCTTCTCATTAGGTCGCCAAAGTATTTGAGGTTCATCTTCAGGATCTGGCCTTCTAGAGAGCAGTCAGGGTTGATCTCCTCTAGGACTGACCGGTTTGATCACCTTGCGGTCCAAGGGTCTCGCAGGAATCTCCTCCAGCACCACAATTCAAAGGCCTCAATTTTTCATCACTTAGCCTCCCTTATGTCCAACTCTCACAGCCATATATTGTTGTTGTTAGTTGCAAAGTCATGCCCGGCCCATCGTGACCCCATGGACAACATTCCTCCAGGCTCTGCTTTTCTCCACCATCCCCCGAAGTCCACCCCAGCCCACACCCACCGCCCCAGTGACCCCATCCAGCCACCTCATCCTCTGCCGTCCCCTCCTTCTTTTCCCTTCCATCGTTCCCAGCATCAGGGTCTTCTCCAGGGAGTCCTTCCTTCCCATTACGTGGCCAAAGTATTTGAGCTTCATCTTCACTATCTGGCCTTCTAAAGAGCAGTCAGGATTGATCTCCTTTAAGATTGACTGGTTTGATCTCTTTGCATTCCAAATTTTTATTTATTGGTAAAATGGGTGGTCTCAACCAGATGAGTTCCAAACGAAGTGAGGAGTTCTAGGCAGAAGTTCAGTTTTGGCAAGACAAGCATGGCATTGTTTAGATTTCCACATGCCTAGATAAACAGGGCAATGCTCATGTAGCTGTGGCATTTTTGAAGCAGTCCTATGCACCCAAATGCACCACATGCAGAGACGCAACGGGGAGACTCTTCTCCTCTGAGAATGCTGATTGGAATGAGGCAAGCTTAGAGGCCTGGAGGAATGTTGTCCATGGGGTCGCGATGGGTCAGATGTGACTTCACAACTAACAACAACAAAGCTTAGAGCAGATTTGCTGTGAGAATGTCCTGAATGCACCAGAATCTTGACATGTGTTTCGAACATAACACATGTGTTCACACACACTAGTGAATCACATGGAGCATAGAATCCTGCACAAAATCCTCCTTTGTGGTTGGGGTCCAGTGGGTCTGAGGAAGGGGCCGTTATGTATCACCCCACACTAGCGGTTCTCTTGCGGCATGCAGCTTGGGAGTGACCACCTCACACACGTGTAGCTTGTAGTGCCTTTCCAAAACAAATCAGGAAAAAGTATTTCCAGGTCACTGCGCGCTCTAACAGAGAGCGCCCCCTTTGCAATTTCTCCCGACACACGTCATGTTTAATCGGCTTCCCTTTGCAGCCAAGCCTTCCGGTTCTGTCGCTTACAATAAGGGCGCTTTTCGCGCAGCTTCTTGGAAGCTGCAGTATGACACGTACCCATCCTTCATCACCCCCTGGGGCCGTTAGTGCAACGCCCTGCTGGAACGTCAGCTTTTAATCCTTTTGCTGAAGTGACCTCTCTGTTTAAAAAAAGCTGGGCAGCAGGGCTGGGGAGGGGGGGGGGGGGAGAGAGAGAGAGAGAGAGAGAGAGAGAGAGAGAGAGAGAGAGAGAGAGAGAGAGAGAGCGCGCGAGCGAGCGAGCGAGCGAGCGCGTGCGCTCCATCCCTCTGGATGGAGCATTGTGGACATCCATCTGAAACCCAGGAAGGTTGCTTATATTCAGCCAGCTGTCATGGACTGCGGTGTTTTTAAACCCGAAGTGGCAGCCCAGGGGGAGCCAAAAAGGCGCGGTTCTCCCTTGAGACAATGCGGAGGAATTTGTGCGTGGAGGTTTGGCTGGATCGAGAGCTGAGCTGTTCCAAAGGTTGAAGGGGTAGTCAAATTTATATCTTGCCATCAGAAGCTGTGTATCCACTCCAGATTTCACTCCAAAACTTTTCAGGAGCTATCCATATTGTAAGGGGGTTCAGAACGACAGAGGACCCCTTTAAAGATCAGGGATAAAATCTGGAACAGATACACTTCATTTGTTTGTTTGTTTATTTTTGTTGCCAGGAGCCCAATGGGACTCTGGGCAGCTCACCAAAAACGGGGACATACTGAGTAAAATCAAAGCTACTAAGCTACTTTGGAACAACTAGTGATGCGACTAAATTGTCCATCCTGAGCAAAAGTGAGGGCTTTCTCCCACCCAGGTAGATTACCTGGGGTCCTCTGAATTTGATGAGACTTGCTCCTGGTACACATGTGTCAGACTGCAGCCTGAGATTTTGGTCCTCTGCAGATGTGTGTGTGTGTGTGTGTGTGTGTGTGTGTGTGGGCAGGGGGGAACCCTTTACTGGTCTGTGACGAGAGCTTTGGAGAAAGAAGGGGGGCATTAACACCTAAAATCCATTTACTTTCCACATTTCCCCTGGAGACTTTAAGCTTTAATTCTCTTGAGGCATCTGGGATTTCTCATAGCGTTGTTTTATCACTGTTCCCTGGAGCTGTTGAAACTCTGTGCTAAATATACTTTAAAGCATTCCATAATAATGCAAGCCACATTTAAGGATGAGAGAAGCTGGATTCATGCACCTGCAACAAGGGTGGAAATAACACATTTTGCATAAGCTATTTGTCAGTGTTTGCTGTTGTTGTTTTTTTAAAGTTCCCTTTCTTCTAATAGTGGGAAAGGATTTTAACACATCCCTAAACTGTGGTCAATGGAGAATTAGTTCAGTCAGGCTTCTGTGATTCTATGAGGTGGCAGACCTTAGCATGTCTTCAAATCAATAGGGACTAGAAGCTTTCTCCTTTAAACATGTACACACAACACTGAATCTGCAGCTACTGCTGGTTGTTTGTGCCATCTTTGTGGATCTGACATTAAACCCTCATGCTGTTGTCATGGCATTCACAATTCCCACCCCTTGGTGCCTTGGGAACTGCCATTCTCTGACGGGGTCTTGGGATCTCACACAGTTCCTATGTCCCCTTCAGCAAACGGTCAAATCATTGTCCTTCAGGTTTCTTCAGGGGTTGGATCCCCACTGCCTGCTTCTTCCCCAGCTGTGGGAGATCTGCAGAAGGTTGATGGTTCTGTGTTGCTTTTCCCCGCTCTAGGGGACAGGAAGCTCTTTGTGGGAATGCTGAGTAAACAGCAGTCTGAAGAAGATATACTCCGACTCTTTGAGCCATTCGGTGCCATTGATGAATGCACGGTACTCCGAGGACCTGAGGGCAACAGTAAAGGTTTGTCTGATGTCTTTTTAGAATCATCGAATCACGGAATAGTAGAGTTGGAAGGAGTCATGAAGGCCACTGAGTGCAACACCAGTTCGCACCATCCCACTCAGGAGGCTGTCCAGTTTCTTTGTTTGTTTTTAACGTCTCTAGTGTGGGAGAGCCCACCACCTCTTCAGGCAGCTGGTTCCATTTAAAACTATCTTTAATGACATAACCATTTATAATGGCCTGCCCTAAGCTGCTGTTCTTCTGATATGTTGGACTACACCTCTCATCACTCCCGGCAAGCACAGAATCAAGGAATCACAGAATAGTAGAGTTGGAAGGGGCCAGGAAGGCCAGCCCCCTGCTGTTGCAGGACACCAGTTCACACCATCCCACTCAGATGGCTGCCCAGTTTCTTTTGAATGCCTCCAGTGTGGGAGAGCCCCCACCTCTCCAGGCAGCTGGCCCCACTGTCCTATCGCTCTGACCGTGAGGAAGCTTTTCCTGATGTCCAGCCTGAGTCTGGGTAGTCGCAACTTGAATTGATTATTCTGTGTCCTACATTCTTTTATCAGTGAGAAGATACCTCGGCCTTCCTCTTTGTGACAGCCTTTGAAGGAGTTATAGAGCGATGTCATGTCCCCCCTCAGTCTTCTCTTCTCAAGGCTGAACATGCCCAGTTCCCTCAGTCTCCCCTCACAGGGCATTTTTGTTGCCCTCCTCTGGACCCACTCTAACTTTTGTCCAGTCCAGGCCAAGATCAGCACTGTCTATTTTCCATGTGCTTATACTTCAATCTCAATCTGTTTCCAAAGTGTTTTCACCCTCAAGACATCCTGCAAAGAACTCTGGGAATTGTCACTGAAAATTCTGGGTTGGCTGCCTACAAACAATTGGTTCATGTTTCTAGTCCCTAAGGTTCCTACCTTTGCCCCTTTCACAGTTCCCAGGGCTGCTTGGCCACAAACCAGTTAAACAGGTCTGGAATGGGGCTATATGATTTAGATTTATCCTCAGATATGGCTGCCTCACATGTCCTCATTTTTCTCTCTCTTGACCATGAGGGCTAGAAAATTATGACTCCTGTTTGGTGTTAACCCAAACCAGATTTCATTGGTAAACCAGCATATTAAGAGCAGGGCTATTGATTTCTCTTTTGGCCCCATAACACTGGTCTGCAAGGAGAAAGTCTCAGAAATGAAAGTAGCTACATTTTTCCAGAACTGAATCACTAATAAAGGAAAATTAAGTCCTGAGTATTCATTGACTCCAGTTTCCAAGATACAGCTTCAGGTCAGCATTGTATCAAATTAATTCAAAATTACAAGGGGTGTGTGATTATGCTCCATAACTTTTCTGCAAAATGTGATATAGCAATGAGAATGGTACCACACCAATTATTATACATTCATCTTTTTATTAATACTAGTAACATAATTTTCCATTCATTTATTGGTTTTTCATGTAACATTTTCATGCTTTTTGCATGAATAACTGACAAGCTCTAACATCAGATTAAATGGCAAGGTTCCATCTTTATTCGGTATCAAAACTGCACTTTTTGGCTTTTTTCTTGTGCACTGCAGTAAGATTCCAGCAGTAGAGATTCCTGGAGGGATTCCAGCAGTAATCGGCAAGCATGGACAGACTTCATTCCCTTGGTATCTTTTCTCCATGCCTGTGATGTCCTGGTGGAATCTCTCCCATGCTCATCACTCGTTGCCCCACAATTCAAAGGGAAATAGCCTAAATGTGATGTAAGAAGTGGATTTTCAGTGATATGTTTGCACCAAGTGCTTTATAGGACCTAAGCAAATTTTCCACGTGTTCCACGTACCCAGAATATAGTGATGTGCCTTTTTTTACCACTCCTGTCATACTGCACTTTTGAGATGCAAATGTAACCTCACCACAAATATAGCAGACGTTATCTGTGTTGTTTACACAGTTTTGAGGCATCTTGGCCTCTGAGGGAAAATATCATGCAACTGTTCCTTGGAAATGTTGGGCAATGACACTTTCATAAGCCCCCAGATGTAACTGTATTATGCATAGATCTGACCAAGACAGATGTACCTTGAAATAAAAGAGCAATAAATTACAGTTAGGTAATAATCTTTAGTCTCAATCCTGGGGGAGGTACACAGTAATTATGGGAGATTTCAGTCTCCCGGATATTACTTGGGAGACTCACTCGGCGGTGACAGCCAGGTCACGTCACTTCCCAGAAGCTACAGAGGGAGGGTTTTCCACACAGAGGGTCCGAGAGGCGACGAGCGGGGGGAAACATCCTTGACTTGGTCTTGACCAATAGGGAGGAGCTGATAGATGAGGTACAAATTAGGGGAGCTCTGGACGTGAGTGATCCTGTGCTTTGAGATCGGGGGCCGTGCAGCAGGTCGAGCACTAGAAGCTGGGACTTCAAGAGGGCCAACTTTGGCCATTGAAGGCCAGACTGGGGAAAGTCTCCTGGGACAGGTTACTGGGAGGCAAGCAAGTTGAGGAGGGGTGGATGGCACTCAAAAGGGAGGTTTTGGAGGCGCAAGCCTTGACGATACCTCTAGTCAGTAAGGTGGGGAGGCGGAGGAGAATGCCGCCATGGATGCTAAAGGAGGTGGTAAGAGGGATTAGACACAAGAGGAACCTCCGTAGGAAATGGGTACTGGGGCAAATAGACAAAAGGGTATACCGGGAGGAGGAGGCCCGTTGCAGAAGGATTCTTCACAAGACGAAGGCTGATTGCGAGCTGAGACTGGCCAAGAATATCAAGAGCAACAGAAAGGGCTTCTTTCAGCATGTAAATAGGAAGAGGAAGGGGAGACAAGTGGTGGGACCACTAAATAAGGAGGAAGGAGATCCAGTGACTGATATGAGGGAACAGGCACAGATGCTGAATGACTATTTTGCCTCTGTGTTCTCCCCAAAGCAGGATGGGGGAGATCCGCATAGGAGATTAGATGGGGCTGGGGACTTAGGGGCACAGACTAGAGTCACCCCTCTAGAAGTCAAGGGGCTCCTCAGGGCACTAGGAGTTACTAAGGCACCAGGCCCTGATGGGTTACACCGAGAGTACCTAGACAGTTGGCAGGGGTTCTCTCACGCCCGCTGGCCTCCATTTTTAAGGCCCCGTGGAGAACGGGTGAAGTTCCAGAGGACTGGAGGGTGGCGTCAGTGGTCCCAATTTCCAAAAAGGGTAGTAGAAGGGACATGGGGAATTACAGAGCAGTTAGCCTTATGTCCATTGTAGGAAAAACAATGGAAAGGCTCATAACAGAGAGAGATCTTGTGATGCCAGGGAGGAAAGGGAGGCTGGCGGCCACACAACACGGCTTCCACAATAACAGGTCCTGCCAGACAAACCTTGTGGGATTCTACGACAAGGTTTCGAGGTGGCTGCATGGAGGGGATGCAGTGGATGTGGTTTACCTGGATTTCAGCAAGGCCTTTGACAAAGTGCCCCATGATATCCTGGCTGAGAAATTGAGGAGTTTTGAGATAGACCAGTGCACTGTCCATTGGATTAGGGTATTGTTGACTGATTGAAAGCAGTGGTGGGGAATCATCAGGATGGCAGCCAGTGACAAGCGGGGTCCCCAGGGCTCTGTCCTGGGGCTGATCCTATTCAATCTTTTCATCAGTGACATGGAAGAAGGGGTGAACAGTCTGCTGATCAAATTCACAAACAATACTAAAACCAGGGCAATGGCCACAATGGAGGAGCAGATAGAGACTATGGAAGTGGGCAGGAGACAACAGGATGGCGTTCAACGTGGATAAGTGCAACGTCTTGCACTTGGGGCACAGGAATGGGTGCCATAAGTACAGGTTGAGGGACAAGTGGCTGGAGAGCAGCACTTGTGAAAGGGACCTCGGGGTGCTGGTTGACTGCAGGCTGAACATGAGCCAGCCATGTGATGCGGTGGCCAAGAGGGCGAACGCCACCCTTGGTTGCATCGCCAGAAGTGTGGCTTCTCGATCGAGAGGGGCATTACTGCCACTCTACAAGTCTCTGGAGCGCCCACAACTGGAGTATTGTGTTCAGTTCTGGGCCCCTCATTACAGGAAGGATATAGCCAGGTTGGAGTCAGTGCAGCATAGGGCCACAAGGCTGGTGGCCGGTTTGCAGGGGATGCCGTATGAGGCGAGACTGAGGGAACTGGGTCTCTTCAGCCTGGAGGAGAGGAGACTCAGAGGGGATCTGTCGGCGACATACAGGTATGTGAGGGGATGTGGGGAGAGACCTGTTCTCCCCTGCAGAGGAAGGCAGGATGCGCTCCAATGGAGCCAAGCTCAGGGAGCCCAAGTTCCATTTGGATGCCAGGAAGCACTTCCTGGCAGTCAGGACCCCGAGGGTGTGGAATGGGCTTCCACGGGAGGGGGTTGAGGCCCCATTGGTGCGGGTGTTCAAGGATAGGCTGGATGTCCACATGGTGGGCATGTCGTGAGCAGAACCGGCTGGAGCCAGGGTCAGCCTAGATGGCCCGGGAGACCCCTTCTGACTCGCTCTGTTTCTGTGAATTTATACACTTCCATCTGGTACCATTTTCATTGTTCTACTGTACTTTGTTGAGAAGATATGAGGCGCTTCATCATCAGACACCTCCTTCCCTTGTAGGTGCCTATACTTGCCTGTGTATAAATCTTTCTTGTGAACTATCTGGAAAACTTTAGCCAACCTGCGCCTTTATCACCTGTTTTCTAATTCACCTATCAAAATATGTAAGAATCAGCACGTTTTATCTCGGAGGTCGATAATTTCCCTAATTGGTAGAGCAGTGTAATCAAAGTAAGGCTTTTCTCACGCCTTCAGCAGCTGAGGCGCTCAGAGGGTTTGAAACCAAACGAAGGCTTGGTTCGGATACCGGGTATTTCTGGCTAGAGGAAGGGCTGTGGGGTCGTATACCTTTAATTGCACATGTCCCCAGCTCTAGGCTCACGGGCTGCTTTCCTTCCTTTCCACCCTCCCTCCCTGCCTCCCTTCCTTCTCTCTGGGTGCTCTTCAGGCTGTGCCTTTGTGAAGTTCTCTTCTCACGCCGAGGCCCAGGCAGCTATCCACGCCCTCCACGGCAGCCAGACGATGCCTGTGAGTAGGAATCTCACTCTGGAGGCTGTTTAGGGGGCCGGGATCAGATCCTCTGCTGTTCAATCCAGTGTTATAGTAACTGTAGTGCTCATAGAAGTAAAAGTGCTTTTACTGGCACAGCTAGTGATGCTACTGCTGGTAGCAGTACTATCTGGAGTAAGAGATATAGTTCCAGTGCTAGTTGTGGCTTCAATACTAATAGCAATAGTGGTAGTGGTAGCAGGAGCAAGTGCTAGCAGTAATGAAACAGCAGTGTTAGTAGCAGTGCTAGCTATAGTAGCAAAAATAGTTCCAGTGCTAGTTGTGCCTGCAGTACTAATAGCAATAGTGGCAGTAGTAGCAGCAGCAGTGGCAGCAATTACTAGTAGTAATCAAAAGGCAGTGCTAGTAGGAGTGGTTGTCATAGTGATGCTCGTAATAGTAGTCTTATAGTAGGGCTAGCAGCAGTAGTGGCAGTGCTCACGCTACTAGTGCTTGTAATGCTAGTGTTAGTAGTAGCAGTGGGTTAGTATCAGGGCCAGTAGTAGAAGGTGCTAGTAGCAGTAGAACGGCTATGCTCGTAGTATTAGTGCCCTACCAGAAGTAGCAGTTGCTAGCAGTAGTAGCAAAAGTAGTGCTAGTAGTGGTCATCTGACTAGCACTAATGGTGCTTGTAGTACTAGCTGCTAGTAGAAAAACACTTTGGGGAAGGAAAGCCACCAAGCTTTGCATGCCCAGTTAAAAGCCCTGGGAACTTTCCTTGGTGTTCCTTCACCTGCCCCTTCTCTCACTCTGCCCTGTCCCTCCGCCCCCCCCCCACCCCCCCAGGGTGCCTCCTCCAGCCTCGTGGTGAAATTTGCTGACACGGACAAAGAGCGGACGCTGCGCCGTATGCAACAGATGATGGGGCAGCTGGGAATCCTGACCCCGTCCTTAACTTTGCCTTTCAGCCCCTACAGCGCTTATGCTCAGGCCGTAAGTATTGGCGGAATTCAGGCCGACATCTTCCAGGTGCGGTGGGTGCCGATGCTGGCCAGAGCGGGAATGCTCTGCACTAAGTCACACGCCACAGTGCAGTCATTACGTCCTGGATGGGCGACTGCCGGGGGAGGGTCCACACAGGGCGTGGCGTGTGGAAACTGCTGTGGAATCGTGAACCATGGAACCATGTTTCGACATGGAAACTTCTGCAGCCCAGCCTGACGGAGTTACAGCAGTCCTGCTGGGCCCAGCCAGTCTTTGGACCAGTGGCCATCTGGCAAGCCGAGCTTTGCTCTTAAAAATGCCCCTGCTGAAAAACAGGTAGGCCTGCTCTGAGTGCTTTCCAGTGCTAGCAGCCATTGCATAGGCTGCAAGCCAGCCAGGCACATGTTTGTGGTACTCCGTTTTGTCCGCCCCAGTTTTCTATTTCTCTCCTGCTCCCCACCCTACCTGACTACGTGGTCCTCATGGACTGTGTGGGCAGATCCCCTGAAGCCTTTCCCACAACAAAGTGTGTTTTACGCAGCTACAGACCTTGGGAGCTTGATTAGAACTCAGTTTCCCATCCAAATCCACAGGTTTTAGATGCTTGTACTGCAAAACAAAGAAACAAGAAGTGACAGACGAGATAATCTGTTTGAAAATAGATAACTCCCCATCACTTGAAAGGAGCAGCTCTGGAAAGAACACACAAATATTTGCACATTTTAAAATATGTATACAAAAGCTGCGTTTTTGTTCAAAATGATCACAGATATCTACATGAAAAGCAGGTGAATAATTATCTGAAACAGAAATAAAAAAGAATAAACTTCAAAGTGAAAACAACTTGCGTATGGAGCAAAACTGACCTTGGCAGATTGGCTTGGTCCTGCTGATAATGCTGCAGGTGCTTCGTTTGTCAACTTCTAACATCCCCCCGTCTGGAACAATTGTCCTGAAATAGATCTATCTATCTATCTATCTATCTATCTATCTATCTATCTATCTATCTATCTGATGTTCTGATTTTCTCCTTGTCCTCATTTCTTCTTGGAGTTTTTGATGGAGCCTGGCTTTGCTTCTGAAATGGAGACTATGCATCTGGAATTTTCCATTGCTCTCCAGCAACTTAAAATTGTAGACCAGGGTGTCACAGTTGAGTTTGCAGGCCAAATTCCATCTTGGAAAAGCCCCTGGGAGTGGCATTCCAGCAGGGTGGAGACAAAATTGTCATTGCTTGAGGCTCCTTCTCAGTCACTGAGGATTTCAGCCTTTTGCAAAGGGGAACAAAAGTGTCGAACTGAGAAACCATCAAAGGTTCTCGGTGCTGAAGCATCAACAGCTCCTGCGAAGGGAAGGTGATTCAGCAAGAATTCTCCCACAGTCCTCTTCATCAGGCCTATCTGGGATGCAGCCCAGAATTAAAATTCCCCGGCTTGGCTGACTCGTAAAATAGCAGAACCGGCTAATTAGCCCTTTTATGCCAGGGTGGTGGTCTCCGAGCCGCCAAAATGTGGGTGCTTGAGCAATGCAGCTGGTCCACCTGAGGCTGATCTGTTTATTTTATTTTAATTTCCAGCTGATGCAGCAGCAGCAGCAGCAGCAACAGCAGCAGCAGCAGCAGCAGCAGCAGCAGACAGTCCTGACGGCGTGTAATGGCAGCTTTGTCAGCCCGAGCCTCAGTTTTTCCCCGTGCCACATCCAACAAATCGGCGCTCTCAGCTTGAACAGCCTGCCTACCACTCCGATTACACAGACCTCAGGTGGGTCCCTTATAGGCCAAGCAGAGAAGCAGATGCAGGAGTTCAGTTTGTGTGCAGTGGTGGGTGGACCCCCCAGCTGAGGCCTGCTGGGTGTGGGGAGGCCTCTCCAGCTGAGGATGGAAGCCCATGCACCGCCCCTTTCCCTGAAGACAAAGCAGGGTTCCAGTCCTCATTGTTCTGATGTAATGATTTCAGTAAGAATGAGGAGGCCTCTCCAGCTGAGGATGGAAGCCCATGCACCGCCCCTTTCCCTGAAGACAAAGCAGGGTTCCAGTCCTCATTGTTCTGATGTAATGGTTTCAGTAAGAACGAGGAGGCCTCTCCAACTGAGGATGGAAGCCCATGCACCGCCCCTTTCCCTGAACACAAAGCAGGGTTCCAGTCCTCATTGTTCTGATGTAATGATTTCCATAAGAACGAGGAGGCCTCTCCAGCTGAGGACGGAAGCCTATGCACCGCCCCTTTCCCTGAACACAAAGCAGGGTTCCAGTCCTCATTGTTCTGGTCCAATGGTTTCAGGAAGGAAAGAGGCCATGCCTAGCCAGACCACTCTTTCAAGGCCATCTAAACCAGCAGTGCACAAACTTTTCCATCTGAGGGTCGCATCGGCTGTCAGCTGGGATGGAAGGCCCACCTGGGTATGCATGCAGCCCCCTTGCATGCCATTTCCACTCATGTCCCCGCATCCCCGAGCAGCAGCCGATCCTGATCACGCAATAGCTGCATCAAGCCACCGCCTCCCCCCGGCCCACGCGATCACCCAGGAAGGGATGCCCTGGAAATAGGTTGCGCCCCTTGTCTAAATCAGTCCGGAGCAATTCTGTCAATTGCAGAAGCCTGCGCTAAATCCAGGGACTCCCTCCTTGCAAAGCTGGCACTTGATTCCCAAGCTGGGGATCCTTCAACTGCAAAGTGCTTTTTCCCCCACCTCACAGATGTCCACGCTTGCTTTTGTCCTTGGGAGATTTTTTTCTCAGTTTAATAGCCACTGGGGGAAGCAATGCTGGAGTTAGGGTCTAGAAGGGGAGAGAGAGATGGATCAGCCCTTCTGCATGCTGCAACGCTGCCCCAATCCCCATGCCCCAGTATTCGTAATTGCCTCCCCCCAGTTAGAATTCTACTTAAGCTTAGAAATTATTTTACAGTCCCTGGAAGTTTTGGGAGAGTGTAGCTGGTGTTCAGAGCAAGATCTCTAGCAGTTTGCAATTGGGGGGGGGGGGTTTACCCCTTCCTTCCTTCCTTCCTTCCTTCCTTCCTTCCTTCCTTCCTTCCTTCCTTCCTTCCTTCCTTCCTTATGTACTTGGGCCCCCACCTGCCTTCTCCCTGTGGCACTTGAACTTGAGATGTCTGTCCTTTGATGCTGATGGAAAGATTGGAATCTCGGTCCCAAACCCCTGGATTTCATGCAGGGAGGGGGAGTCCCAAATGGCCCCCCTTTGCGATGAAAAATAAAAATTGGGCCTCCATCACGGTGTCTCTGTTCTTGACTTCCACCTGCAGGGTTGCATTCACCACCTGTCCTGGGCACAGCTGCCATCCCGGGGCTGGTTACACCCGTGGGCAACCATTTTGCGGGAGTGGTTCCCATCCCTAGCAGCCACCCCACTTTGGAGCCCGTCTATACGAGCAACCTTGTGCCCTGTGCAAGTTGCACACGGGGCTTGCACTTTACTGATCAAGGTAAGCTCACTGTGCTTCCATTCTTGCAGAGCTTAACTATCAAGAGGAGCTTGCTTGCTTGCTTGCTTGCTTGCTTGCTTGCTTGCTTGCTTGCTTGCTTGTTTGCTCTACCTACCTACCTGCCTACCTACCTACCTACCTACCTATTTAGAGAATTTATATGCCATCCCATCGCATAGCCTGGCTTTCCCTCTTTCCCCTCCTGAATGGATTTTTATGGCAGGGAAAAAGAGAGAAGATGCTGTTCCTATATTATTTAACCGTATTATTTAACCAGTATCCTCCTGCACCTCAGGCTAAAGTGGTGTGTATATTACCTGTAAAACAAGGGGAATGCTGTCTCTGGGGTTGCAACCTTAACAGACACGACACACAATGAGGAATGTCTGGGGCAGGAAGAGGGGGAATGAGGCATTCGCACAGGGCTGATGGAACGGGCTCTCCCTCTCTGGCCTTCCTCAGCACAGCCTCTCAGTTGTCATCCAGACACCCCAGAAAATCCCCTGATTTGAGGCAGGGCTAATGAGTGATCAAAACCTCATCTAGAACCCTTTGCCTTATTTCGTGAGAACCAAGTGTCTGTTTAAGTGGGAGCCAGGGGGACTTCAACGTTTGCTGTGCTCCCTGGATCTCTGGCAGAGAGGATCTGTCCCCTTTATGGTAAGGCAAGCGGGGACCCTGCTCTCATGCCAGCAGCACCAGGTAGCAGAAATCAGTGCTGGAGGACAGGGGGACAAATATACCCAAGAGATAACCCCCAAGGCACTATTCTCAGCGTGCTAAGAACTTTGCTGCAACAGAGTGCACAGAGGTCTGGAGATGATAGTCCATGTTGTCTGCGCACTGGAGTGCGATATCTTGGCAGCTCCAGCTTCAGTTCTGAACTGAGGGATTTAATTGGGTGGGCAGGTGGGTGTGGGGTTCCTAGCACATTCTGGTCACAGATTCCTCCTCCTCCTCCTCTAAACCAAAATATCTCTTATTGCAGCTCAGAACCCATCAGTAGCAGAGACTTTGCACCCAGCCTTCAGTGGAGTCCAGCAATATGCAGGTACAATTGCGGAAATAATTTTTTTTTTTACCATGTTGGAGGAATGTTACACAAAGTACTCTTATCACAAACTCACATGGTAGTCTAATCACAAAAGGCAAAACTGGAGCCCCAAACAGGATCATAGAGAAACAAGAAGGAACTATCAGGATGTTTGGAAAGTTAAGTGTGTTTGTTTTAACCATTAAAATGAAACAAAACAAAACCAGCTTCTATTATTCTTCCTATTCAGTGAAGACTTCACTTATTCAGCTGCTTTTGGAAAAGAAAACTTTGGTGAATTCATAGTTCAGTTGCCTTTCAGTCTGAATGGGTGACAGGTTTGTGGATTTCTGCTTGGAGAACAAACACTGAACTCACTAGCAACAGCAAAGACATCTTCCTGGGCAACCTATATGCCTCACAACAGTCCTGCAGAGTAGGCCACTGTTATCCACAGACTGAGGCCTGAAACTAGGAGCCCTGCAGCAGCTACTCCCAAAATACCCCAGGGAGCATATGGCCAGGCGGTGTGAATTGCAGGTCTGACAATGCAGTCTCTCAGCCCTGGAACTGCATTAGATGTTTTGGTTTGTTTGGAAAAGGGCATGAAATATTTGAAGTTGGAAATCATTTGCTTTTCTTTCCCGCCCTGTGCAGCTGTTTATCCAGCCACAACCATCACCCCAGTAGCTCAGGCAATTCTTCAGCCCCTGCCAGTAATTCAGCAGCAGCGAGAGGGTAAGTCCGCTCTGGGTGCAAAGTGTGGGATGTGGATGGGATGGGGCACGTCACCATCCTGCCAATTTGTACAAATGCATCCAAACCCCCTCATGCAAACTCCAGTTCCAAAGAGGGGATGCTGGAGAAAAAGCATAACACAGAGAGAAAGGATTCACCAGCTCCTTAGAGCTCTCTTTATGAAGCTCCTTATTCCAGGAATTTGAACTTGGGTCTTGCTCATCCCCAACTGACACCTCACAGAAGCATTAGAAAAGACGTTTGATGTCGATTAATTTAGTCCTGTGCTGATGTGGGAAATCCAGTGCTACTGCATTTCTTATGGGAGGCTATCCAACTGCTGCTTTAAAATCTTATGTGCACCTTCTGAAGCAGTCTTTTCCATAGCTGAACAGCCAAAATCATACCAGCGCTGAGCTGGAATCCTGATTTGTAATCCCAACCCATTGGGATGGGCCTTCCTTCCTGCCAACACACTGCTGCATCTCTGCAACTGGAAGATGCAAACCATGACTTTAAAGTCAGAGAGCTCTGGCTGTTGGGTGGTGTAGACATTAAATATAAATGAATGAACAAACAACTTTTTTCATCTTCTCTTCTCCAGGGTAAATGTGCCCGGCACTAACCATTCTACCATATTGCCTCCCTGACTACAGGCCCAGAAGGATGCAATCTTTTTATCTACCATCTTCCTCAAGAGTTTGGCGACAACGAGCTGATGCAAATGTTCCTTCCATACGGGAATATCATCTCCTCCAAAGTGTTCATGGACCGGGCTACGAACCAGAGCAAATGTTTTGGTGAGTGATCCAAGAAGAGTGAGAGGCGAGTTGTGTGTGTGTGTGTGTGGATGGATAGACAGACGAACCCAGAAGACCTGGAAGATGCCAAGAAACCCACCACTGTCTCTTGGGCTGTTTTGGTGGCCATATTGAAGCAAAGATGGTGTTGAGTTGACTGTGATCTCACTTACCTGGGCTTCCACCTTTCAGGGGCTGGAGCTTGGATAAAGTCTCTTTTCTTACACTCAGTGGAAAATACCAGCCCTTTATATAAATATGGATGGAACCCATCACTGGATATAGGATTACTTGCACCAGTTGTATTGATTTCCATGGGAGCTCGGCATCCCAAGATTCTGGCATTATAAGGAGCAAATAAATAAATGGAGCCAATAAATAGAGAATTCTGGTCTGGATCAGATTATAGAATCCAGGTTGGATTCCTGAATACCCCAAGACAGAGTAGGTCAGCTTTTTCATCTCTGGCGCTCCGTATTTTGAGGGAAAGAATCCCTAATACAAAGCGTGTGAGTTAATAACAAGAATTATAGCAACGAATACACAGGGGAGTCTTGTGTTGACAACTCCCTTGTCTTTTTCAGGTTTTGTGAGTTTTGACAACCCTTCTAGTGCCCAAGCAGCCATCCAGGCTATGAACGGATTCCAGATTGGCATGAAAAGGCTGAAGGTGCAGTTGAAGCGACCAAAGGATTCGAGCAACCCCTACTGAAGGGTGCGTATGTGGGTGGGCAAGGGTGCCGTGCCATGTGATGTCCCAACCTGCTTCTGCTAAGGAGGAGCAAACCAGAAATACCTCTCTGTGCAAAAGTGGGCTTGTAGGGCTTTGCGGTGTCCCAAAGACCCCATCCGTGGCTCGTGCCCTGAAATGTCATTGGCACTCTGCCTCTGATCTGCAGAGGACCATGAGGACTAGCAGCTGTGGAGAGCCTTCTCTTTGAGGAATCTGTCCAATCTCCGTCCAGTCTCATGCAAATGGGTGCTCATCACAACATCCCATAGTTTAGCTATTTCCTGGGGGAAGAATTTCTTCCTTTCGTCTGCTCCGAACCTCCCTCTCATCAGCTTTGCTCCATGATCCCGAGCTGAGTGTGAAGAGAAACAAAGAAAATGTCTCCTGCCCACTTTTCCCACATCATTTTATGAAATTTTATACACTCCCATTCTTGTCTGTTTTCTGAGCTAAAGGGCCCCAGATCTGGTAACCTCTCAGGGGAGCTGCACCTGGTCCCGTTTTGTTGCCCTCCTCTGCGTTTTTTCCAACTCTGCACTGTCCCTTTTTGTGCAGAGCTTTCCAAGCATTGCTGCACCCTCCATTTACAAAAAAGACATCGAGGAGGCAGCGCTGTGTATGTTCTAGGCCTCCCAGTAGTCTCCAGTCAGCCCTGAGAGGGGCATGCTGGGAAGCGAGGACCTTTCTGCGTTTAATGATGCATAGGTTTGTACTTTAGGTATTGTCAGCTTCATTTTCTATTCCTTTCCTAATCATCCCAAACACGGAGCTGTTTACTGATGGGGGAATTGTATTGAGTGTAGCCATTCAATGCTGGCTGACAAAGAATTGTTCCGGTATCATAACTGAACACAGTTGTCTTCTGTCATCCACTTTTTACACCCATCTACCTCTTCACTAGGTTTGGGCCACCCACAATCGAAGCTTGAATGGTGTGGCTTGTTCTTGAACTGTGGGTTAGACAATAACACACTTGTAAGCACAAACAACCCACCTGCACATCCCAGGAACAAGCCATGGATTCCAAAGTGCATCTCTTTCCCAGTGGGTAAAAATGCCAGTTTTAAAAAATCATGCATTTTTCCTATTTGGGAAGGGGGGGAAAGGGAACTCATCTACAGGAATGCAGTGAGGTGAGGTGAGCTTTGAGGATGAATTCAGTGAGTTTGAACTTTGCATGTTGGACAATATCTACCTTGAACCCCCTTGCTTTTCCTTATTCAAGAGAGATAAACATCACTTTTCCAGTTAATGTCTTTCTTTTGTTTTAAAGAGTCTTCAAGATGATTTCCCGCCTTTCTTGGGGGGAACCAGAAAAAAACCCCCACCCTAATAACAGCGATCACCGCCATCTTGAACTCTTTACTAGAAAAAAGGATGCAGAGGATGTGAAAGCGGCCCCCATTCGGTTCTATGGTGGTGGCCTCCCAGCCAAGAACGGAGCGTGTGGATGAGACAGCTTCATTGTAATGGCACTCTTTCAATGCCGGCTTATTAGTTTAGAACATATGTATATAAATAGAAAGATCTATCTATATATCTATCTAGACAGGATATAGAAATATATACAACAGTCACTCTATTTTTCTTAGATGTTAAAAAATTGCAGGACCAAACTTTTCCTTCTTCTTCGGTGGCCAGCCAGGGGTAGATAGAAGTGGGACAAGAGATGTGCCTGATCCTTGAATTGTGTCAGAAAGGGCCTTAGAAGAAGACATGCCTGAGGTTTTGGACGGGAAGCAGACTCTTTCCTCCATTTGCACCCATTGCCAGGGGAGGAAATGTGACGACTGAAGTTCTGCTTCTCCAGGCTGCAAGACAACCACCGAGACACCACGGCCTAATTCGGAAGCTCCATGGATGGAGAAGAGTGCATGAAGTGCCTTTGCGGCAGCAAACATCGTGTCTTTGCCCAGATGGAAAACACGAGAAGGCTTTTTTTTTTTCTCAGCAGCCAAATATTCCTGACCAAATGGAGGGCTTAACCTTTCAGCATTCAAAGGACTGAAAAGAAACCTAACGTTTAAGGCTTACAACACTGCCTCCAGCAATGGACTTGACTTTTTCTGACTGTGTCATGGATATCCGACGTTTCCGGTGTGTGTGTGTGCATGTGCGTGTGTGTGAACTCGATTACACAAGAAGATGCAAGCCAGATGTTAATGCAGGACCGTTCGCTCTTTGACAGACCAATCAACTAGTATGCAACAGATACGTGTGTGTGTGTGTGTGTGTGTGTAAATACCTTATCTATACAGTGCGTCATCACAACACCGCACAGCCAAAGACCTGGCTGGTTCTTTCAAAATGGAGGCATGAAATGCCAGCCCCTTCCCATCTGGCGTGAGCTGCAGCCCATTCCTGTCACTTCGTGACTTCACCCCACCTTTGCGAGCCCTGGCCTGCCCCACCTGTTTCTTAGCTCCAAAGCAGTAACCCCACTCCTCCTGTATCCCCAGTAAATATGCAACAGGCTCTGGGAACTCACAAGCTGCGGGCATCCAAAGGAATGGCTGCCCATCCAGCTCACTCCCCCCTCTTCCGGGAGGTTCTGTTTAGCAGTCATACAGTAATGAGAAATATGCCCCTTTGTTACAGATCTGCCCAGTCCTTTATGAAAATGGTCCGGTCTCCCCTGCCCCGCCCTGCCCTTCCTGTGCCATGCGATTCTTCTCTTCTGCTTTCCCGCCATACTACTAAGCCTAACCTAACCTGCATCTTAGAAGTACTTTCAGAGCAGAGCCACTCAGAATCTCATGGGCTCGGCAGGATCCTTCATCTGTTCCCCCTTTATGCCACTTTCCCGTTTGCCTGCCCGGCGTTCCCTCACCTCTGCATTCCGCACTTCCTCATCGCACCCAGGCTGCTCGTGCTCCCCGTTCCAGGCCTCTCTCAGATGCAAAGCACATTTAAAGCTCACATTTTGACTTCTGTTGCAGGAAATCCGAGAGGCCCAAGGGTGGCCGTTTTACCAAAAGAAAAAGGGATCTTAAAAAAGAGAGCTACACACTTTCCCTGTGGAGCGAGTCAGAAATATGCCAGAATTTAGCTATATACTTAAAACATTCCTGTTATTGTGTGTATGTGTATGTGTGTGTGTGTGGGTTTGTGAGGGTCAAGAAGCGTCCTTCCAGGCAGTGGCGTGTTTTCTGGAACATCTCAAGGTAAGGCAAACTTGTTAGCCGCACTGATCCATCTTCTGGGCTCCTGCAGGTTGCAAAGGTGGGATGTGTGTTTGTGTGTTGTGGGGCAAGACAGGTGCACACCTGCAAGGCAAGGTGGTCAACCCACTGAGTCCTGGGCTGCGTGTGGCCATGCAGTGGCTCCTCCAGGGCTGGGCAGTGTTCCAGAGTTGAACCCAGGACCTGTTGCATGTGGAAGGGGCCAATCTGCAGCACCTTTTGGGACTCGGGTCCCAGTATTGGGGCACCCAGGCAGCGGGTCTGCAAGCCCTGAGTTTCTGCAGCATCCCTCAGGGGCCCAGATGTGGCTGGCCAGCAGCTTGTGGGTGCCAAGGCATTTCTCCCCCTGCTGGCTGCTTTGGGGGCTGCTGGGTGTTGGTGTGGGAGGCCAAATTCCAAGCAGAGCTGTGGCAAATGGCTTGGGCTCGGAGCCCGTGGGGCTCCTCATTCTTGGAGCCCTTTGGCAGAGTGTGGGGTTGTAAATCCAGCATGAGAAAAGTTTGTGTGTGTGTGTGCACAGGGAGGTCTGTTCCATTGATAACCTGGTGGCATGCACATTACTTTCCAGCTTTGAGTCAGTATGAAGCCGGTTCCTGTGAAAGCAGCCCCTTGTTCAGGATCATGAGGACTGGAACCTTGCTTGGTTTTAGGGGAAAGACTGTAGCTTAACAGGCAGGGCACATGCTTGGCACAGCAAAAGTCCTAGAGTCGTTTCTTGGTATCTGTGGGAAGGAGCGGGGCAGGATCGAGGCAGGGTGGGGTGGGGGTGGGGGAGAAGGAAAAATATGGATTCAGTATGTTCAGTTTAGCTTTTAACCTGTACTTTGGAGAAGCTGTCCATGGTCCTGGAACATTTTAGCACCATGGAGAGCACCATGGACGCTTAGATTAAAGCTCAGAGTGGAAACCGCTTCCCACTAATAGTGTAAAAAGGAAAAGGAAAGTAATTGCCAGGCTCCATGCAGCCAAAACTTGGCACTGCTGGTGCAAAACCGTTACTTCAAACAGCTTTTCCCCAATGGAGGGGGAGGATCACAGCTCTCATGGTCCCCAGACAGCATGGCTGCGGATGGCGGCAGCTGCAATCTCACGAACCTGAAGGGCACTAGATTGCAGAGATGTGGCTTAATAGATTTTATCTGAAATGAGAGCAATGTCTGCCAATACATTTGGCAGCCTACTTGAGATATTTCAGAGCAGAAAACATGAAGCAAATAAATACCGTATGGAAGAGGTGATGGCTGAATTCTGGAAAGTGAACTCCCTACTCCATTCCCTTCTAGGACCTGCCTTAGTATAAATGGCGTGTGAATTTCAAAGGGAGTTGTGTTAAGAGAGGGCTAACTTTTCAAACCAACACAGGCCACAAGCCAATATGCCGTTTGTGGGAGGGTGGACTGCACCATTGGCCACAAAAGTCAGCTTCCTGGGAAGCCCACATTTTTTTAGGAAAAAGCAGCAACAAATAGAAAGAGCAAGTTTCTAGTCCTCATCATGGCAAAGCCAAGCTTGGGAACAGCAGAAGCAGGAGAAGTGGGCAGGTAAGTTTTCCCCTGTGTTGGAGAGAGGATGCCTCACCGTGCCACCCTATACATGTTTATTCCGAAGGAAAATCTCTAACCTTCCGAACAGACATGCACGGGCATCGCAGCTTCGGTGTCTTTGCCCATCCCGCACAGCCAAATTGAAGAACATTATGCAAACTAGCTTTAAAAATGGCAGAATAACCTATGCAAAAAAAAAGGGGGAGTAGATATGGAGCTGAGATGCTTCTCCCGCTCCTGTGAGTGCAGCCTA